ATAAACCATCAGAAAGTACTTGCCTCTAATAATACTGCTTCAATGTCCAATGCTGAGAGTTTATACCCACCAACTTTCATGATGTCAGCATTAGTGCCTGCCAGTTATTAGACACTCTTTGTAAATCAGTCAAATAGCCCCAAAAAAAGAAAAAAGAAAAAAGAAAAAAGAAAAAAGAAGAGAAGCTCAAAGGAGCACAGAAGAAGTAGGGGCTATAGAAACTAATTAACAGCACAATGAAACCAATTAAATCATGAGGAGCTGAAGAAGTACTGATAATTACTTATCGAAAGAAAAAAAAGTATTCATTACTAGTATGGACTTTTCGACTGACTATTATGTTATGCAAAACTGTGGAAGAAAAAGACAATGCATTACATAGTCGATGCAATTTCGACATTGCTACTACTTTAAAAGTTTGGATGTGTTTTCTGTGAATTCAATTAAATTGCCCAAGACCGAATAAAATGTTAATCACTCATTCTCACAAACGCTTACTTGGTTGGATGGATACCTCATACATAAGTATCCCTCCAAATCAAGTCAAATTTTGTATTACTTGCATGAGATTCACCTTAATGATAATCTTAACCTCAAAAATCAACAAAACCATGAGGATATTGCACTTGTGCAATAAAAAATTTATGAAACAGAAACATTTAAAGTGCAGTAATGTCAAAAAGATCAGTAAACAAGTTGTGGCATTCTGGAGCCATATCAACAGCAAAAATAATAAAAATTGGAAAGAGAGGGTCACTTGCGTCCTGAAATTATATAATATCCATCTTCATCCATAGTAACTGTGTCTCCTGTTCTGAAGAAGCCATCATCCATAAATGCTTCCTTTGTGATCTGAAACAAAGATCAGATGTAACCAACGTTATGAACTCTGAATAGTTATATGCAGCTTAGTATTTTCTGCATGCTACTAATATAATGCTTCAATATTTCTTCTCATTTGACCTTAGTATTTTCTGCTTGCTACTAATATTACTTGCATATTTCTTTTTCATTTGACAAGATTTTGACAATTTCATGTGATATTCCAATCTAAAGAAGCCTCCAGTTTTCGCTATTGAAAATAATTGGAAAGTGTTGAAACCATTCCTTCCTGGTCAGTCAGTCGGAATTCAATGCTTTCAAGGTAGCTGATTAAAAATAGGAAGCAAGAGAAAGAAATTGATAAAATACTTTTACATTGTCACTTCTAGCTGAGAATTATAAGATTTTTCACCACCAGAAAGAAGCACTTTCACTGGAATTTAATCTAGTCTGCCACTTTACAGGACTGGGCTGTAGCCAGTATTTATTTTTTCGATAATATGTGACTCCGTTATATGTAAATCTAATATTCAAATAGCAAAAACCCTCTCAATATTGAATCTATTGGGATGGATTGCAGTATTCCCGTTAAATGGAGAAAATAAACAGCTTATTATGTATCATAATTGTTTTGAGAAGCATAGAGAAACATTGTAATAGAAATAATCGAAATAAGATGCAAGAAACCCAACAATAAGCAACAGTATAGACCAAGGGCAATAGCACTAACCTTGGGTTGCTTCCAGTATTCCTTGAAAAGTGATGCACATTTAATCGCAAGCTCACCATCACTGCTGTCACTATCTTCATCGACTATAATTTTTGCCTTCAAATAATTGGAAAGGAGATTCTCATTATCAGTGTTGGTGATACATGATGCTTCCTCATTCCATACCAGCTAAGTGTTCACATGCGAAATCTTAGTGCAACTGGAATTTAATTAAACAAAAAGAAAACAAGAGTAAAAAGTGGATAAAAAAATTAAATTATTGACATACATTAAAGAAGTACATTACAAAAGAAGAGAGAATAACCTAAATCCAACAATGAAGGAGGAGAAATGACCAAAGTGCAGCATGTAGTTGAAACTCCTAAATTCTAAATTAGCAAGCTCAAACTCAATCAGCAGTTAGAAGGTATTAGAGAAGGATAATAAATGCAACTGAAGAAACGAAAGAGAATTCCAGAAAGTGTATCCACCACTGCTTCCTCATGATACATCAAAATCAATTATAAATATAGGCATTGGATAGACGTTATAACAGAAGACATAATGCCAATAGTGAACATAAAAGAGTAAACAAGCTACCAGAAACCTAAGAGTCGAATGATTACACTCGAAACAAAGGCAATGTATAGAGCCACAATACTTAACAGCTAAAAAGAGTCATGGGTAGTAACCATCTTAGATCAAATAGAGTAACATTTATATATGAAAGATATTCATATGCCTAATCCATAATAATCAAATCACACGACTCTATGGCCATGGGGAAGGTTCCCAATAAATGCCATATGCACCTTATAATGCAGTGTGGGATCACGACAAATCAACATGGATGGTAAATTAAAGTACAAGAATTTAATTTCAAAATAACAGAGCAAACTTCAATGAATTCCAGAGCTTAACTGCACTCACTGAATTCAGGAATGGTCAAAAGTCGTAATACAATCCCAACA